CGTTGTACTCTGTCCTTAAGCCAATGTTCTACCCAAGAACAGGAATATTCATCTAGACCAATTTCTTTTAGTTTGAAAACTAACCTATTGTGAGGAACCGTATCAAATGCCTTGGCAAAGTCCAAGTAGATCACATCCACTGCAACACCCTGATCTATACTTCTACTTACTTCTTCGTAGAATGCAATTAGGTTAGTTTGACATGACCTATGTTTCATAAAACCATGCTGATTATTGCTAATAACAAAGTTCTTCCCAATGAATTCCTGAATATTATCCCTTAATAGCCCTTCAAATATTTTCCCAGTTACTGAAGTTAAGCTCACAGGTCTATAATTTCCAGGCAAGGATTTTGAACCCTTTTTAAATATAGGAACAACATCTGCCTTCCTCCAATCCTCCGGTACAACACCTGAAACAAAAGAATCTTGAAAAATTAAATACAGAGGTTCACTTATTTCCCCACTTAGCTCCTTAAGTACTCGTGGGTGAATACAGTCAGGCCCCGGAGCTTTATTTACATTAATTTTCTTTAATAGCTGTAGCACCTTGTCTCGAGTTATCCAGTCACAAGTTATTTGCAAGTTTTTTGCAGCAAACATTTGCATATCTCTTGCCATAGGATCCTCATTAATATATACTGAAGAAAAATAGTTATTTAAAATTTCTGCTTTTTCCTGGTCTTCATTAGCTAATAAACCCAACTCTGTTTCAAGTGTACCTACACTTTCATTTTTTGTTTTTTTAGAATTGATGTACTTGAAAAAATTTTTGGGGTTGGTTTTGCATTCTTTAGCTATCAATTTCTCATTTTCTAGTTTAGCCACTTTAATTGCCTTTTTGCAAGTGTTATTGGCTTCCTTATATCTTAAATAGGATGCCTTTGATTTGTCTGATTTAAATGCTTTAAATGCCCTTTTCTTATTTTTAATCTCTTGTTTTACTTCTCTACTAAGCCACATTGGTTTTAATTTGTTTCTTTTATATTTATTACCCAATGGTACATACTGAGAAGTGTACCTTTCTAATATTTGTTTGAATAGTTTCCATTTATCCTCAGTGTTTTTATCACTAAGGAGTTTATGCCAGTCGATATGTTGTAGAGCTGCCCTAATCTTATTGAAATTGGCTTTTTAAAAATTATATGTTTTAGTATACCCCACCTGCTTTTGCTTTTTTGAGTTTATTTCAAAATTTACCATATTGTGATCACTATTTCCCAAATGCTCCCCTACTTGAATGTTGGTTAAAAGATCAACATTGTTTGTTATGACAAGATCCAGACAAGCATCCTGTCTAGTTGGTGCTTGTACCAGTTGTGACATAAAGGTGTCATTTAACACATTCAAAAACCTGATTCCCCTTGCTGAAGTACTAGTCCCTCTTTCCCAATTTATGTCTGGATAATTAAAATCTCCAATAATTAACGCGTTACCTCGATTTGCAGCTTTCTCAATTTGCTGTAACAGCTGTTCTTCCTCATTAATATTTACATTAGGTGGTTTATAACATATCCCAACCAATAATTGATTTCCCTTTGTTTTCCCCAAGCAGATATCTACCCATAAAGCCTCCACCTTTTCCTCGTCACACTCCACATGCCTAAGATTTGACTTTAACTCACGGTTGACATATAAACATACCCCACCACCCTTCTTGTTTTTCCTATCCTTCCTAAATAACGTATACCCATTTAAATTAACTGCCCAGTCATGTGTCTCATCCCACCATGTTTCTGTTATGCCTATTATATCATATTGTTTAGTGTATGCTATTGCCTCTAGTTCCCCCATTTTGTTATATAGGCTCCTTGCATTAGTAAGCATACATTTAATATTATCATGAGTCTTTTGTACTTTTTGTGAATTATCAATATTACATACCTCCTCTGTTCTGAGTTTTCCCCTCCCCCCATCTCCACCCCCTTTGTTCTGAGCTAAAGCCCATCTCTTTTCCATCATATCTCCATTTTCTAGATTGCTTTGACCCTCCCCCCCTACCACTAGTTTAAAATCTCCTCCAACCTTCTAGCCATCCTATCCCCCAGCACAGCAGACCCTCTTCCGTTTAGGTGCAATCCATCATGACTATACAGGTTGTACCCAAGCGCAAAATCGGCCCAGTGCTCTAAAAACCCAAAACCCTCTTTCCTGCACCAAGACTTTAGCCACGCATTGACCTCTCTAATCTCCCGCTGCCTTTCTGCTGTAGCGCGCGGCACAGGTAATATTTCTGAAAAAATTACCTTGGAGGTCCTTTTCTTAAGCTTACTTCCTAGTTCCCTGAACTCATTCTTTAGGACCTTCCATTTTCCTCTGACTTTGTCATTGGTACCAATATGGACCATGACAGCTGGGTCATCTCCAGCCCCTCCCAATAATCCCTCCACTCTGTCGGCAACATGCCGGACCCGAGCACCCGGGAGACAGCAAACTGTCCGGTTGAGTCGATCAGAGTGGCAGATTACCCTATCTACTCTCTTAATAATAGAGTCCCCTACCACCACAACCTGTCTAGCCTTCCTTACCCTCTCAACCCCACCCGTACTAGAGGGGCTGTTTCCACGGCTGTTAGCAGGAACAGCTTCCTGCAGTACAGCTACTCCTGAGCTGATGCTCCCAACATCTTCACTCAAACGGGCAAATCTGTTAGGCTGCATGAGATCAGGACTAGCTAAACCTTTTCTCTTCCCTCCCCCCCTGCTTCCTCTCCCCACTGTCACCCAGCTACGTGCCTGTTCCCCATCTGTCTTATCTCCTCCCTCTCCACTACCTGTCCCCACTAAACTCTGCTCAGTGAGCAGCAGACTCCTCTCAAGATTGTCAATCTCCCTCAGTGTTACAATTTGCCTCTCCAGATCTCTAATCTGAGCTTCCAGAAATGCCACTCGCTCACACCCACCACAGAGGTATGGACCCTGGACAGAACCATCCAGGCATGCATACATGCGGCATGATGTGCACTGAGTTAAATTTGCAATCTTGCTAGCACTCATCCCCAGTAACAAAAAACACAAGTGAGAAAAATAAAAAAAAAATGTTAACCCTCTTGGTTTAAACTCCCTTGTAGTTTCAACTCCTGTTGTTTTAACTCCTACTTAAAAGAGACTACTTTAAATAGCCTACTTTCAAGCAAACTCCAGTGAGCAAGCTCTGTGAGTCAGTAGTGGGTTTATATTTGCAATACAAATCCCACACAGGTGGAAATTAAGGGGCACTCCCCCTAATTAGCTCAGCAGCAGCAGCACCCACAAGGAGGGGAATAGAAACAACAAGAGAGGGGGGGAAAAAAAAAAGAGGGAAAAAGTTTTAAATAATACCAGCAAGGTGAAAATATATAAGAGAAAAAAAAAAGGAACAAAGTTTAAATATATCCAAAGAGAAAAAATATATATGAAAAGGGGAAAAAAGTTACAAAATATTAAAATAAATCAAAACAGTAAGGAGAAATAATTTGGTTTTTTTAAAAAGGGTAAAGTAAAAACAAAACAAAAACAAAAAAAAAACACAAAATACAAACAAAACAAAACCCAAAAAGAGAGAAAAAAAAAAAATACAAATACTAAAATTTAAACCTGCTTTTCTTTTCCACTTGGTATTAACTAATACCAACCACAGTCCACCAGTTCACCAACAAACTCGTGTTGTTTTAACTCCTACTTAAAAGAGACTACTTTAAATAGCCTACTTTCAAGCAAGCTCTGTGAGTCAGTAGTGGGTTTATATTTGCAATACAAATCCCACACAGGTGGAAATTAAGGGGCACTCCCCCTAATTAGCTCAGCAGCAGCAGCACCCACAAGGAGGGGAATAGAAACAACAAGAGAGGGGGGGAAAAAAAAAAAGAGGGAAAAAGTTTTAAATAATACCAGCAAGGTGAAAATATATAAGAGAAAAAAAAAAAAAAAAGGAACAAAGTTTAAATATATCCAAAGAGAAAAAATATATATGAAAAGGGGAAAAAAGTTACAAAATATTAAAATAAATCAAAACAGTAAGGAGAAATAATTTGGTTTTTTTAAAAAGGGTAAAGTAAAAACAAAAAAAAACAAAAAAAAAACACAAAATACAAACAAAACAAAACCCAAAAAGAGAGAAAAAAAAAAAAATACAAATACTAAAATTTAAACCTGCTTTTCTTTTCCACTTGGTATTAACTAATACCAACCACAGTCCACCAGTTCACCAACAAACTCCTGTTGTTTTAACTCCTACTTAAAAGAGACTACTTTAAATAGCCTACTTTCAAGCAAGCTCTGTGAGTCAGTAGTGGGTTTATATTTGCAATACAAATCCCACACAGGTGGAAATTAAGGGGCACTCCCCCTAATTAGCTCAGCAGCAGCAGCACCCACAAGGAGGGGAATAGAAACAACAAGAGAGGGGGGGAAAAAAAAAAGAGGGAAAAAGTTTTAAATAATACCAGCAAGGTGAAAATATATAAGAGAAAAAAAAAAGGAACAAAGTTTAAATATATCCAAAGAGAAAAAATATATATGAAAAGGGGAAAAAAGTTACAAAATATTAAAATAAATCAAAACAGTAAGGAGAAATAATTTGGTTTTTTTAAAAAGGGTAAAGTAAAAACAAAACAAAAACAAAAAAAAAACACAAAATACAAACAAAACAAAACCCAAAAAGAGAGAAAAAAAAAAAATACAAATACTAAAATTTAAACCTGCTTTTCTTTTCCACTTGGTATTAACTAATACCAACCACAGTCCACCAGTTCACCAACAAACTCGTGTTGTTTTAACTCCTACTTAAAAGAGACTACTTTAAATAGCCTACTTTCAAGCAAGCTCTGTGAGTCAGTAGTGGGTTTATATTTGCAATACAAATCCCACACAGGTGGAAATTAAGGGGCACTCCCCCTAATTAGCTCAGCAGCAGCAGCACCCACAAGGAGGGGAATAGAAACAACAAGAGAGGGGGGGAAAAAAAAAAGAGGGAAAAAGTTTTAAATAATACCAGCAAGGTGAAAATATATAAGAGAAAAAAAAAAGGAACAAAGTTTAAATATATCCAAAGAGAAAAAATATATATGAAAAGGGGAAAAAAGTTACAAAATATTAAAATAAATCAAAACAGTAAGGAGAAATAATTTGGTTTTTTTAAAAAGGGTAAAGTAAAAACAAAAAAAAAACAAAAAAAAAAAACACAAAATACAAACAAAACAAAACCCAAAAAGAGAGAAAAATAAATAAAAATACAAATACTAAAATTTAAACCTGCTTTTCTTTTCCACTTGGTATTAACTAATACCAACCACAGTCCACCAGTTCACCAACAAACTCCTGTTGTTTTAACTCCTACTTAAAAGAGACTACTTTAAATAGCCTACTTTCAAGCAAACTCCAGTGGAGTTTCAAATGTTGCCTACGGCTGCCCTAGAGAAAAACAGAGTTGACAAGAGAGTGGACACTTTTTGGGACTTATTTTAAATTGTATAAATATTACACTTGTGAATAAGAAGCCATTTAACAGAGTGTTTTTCTAAAGTGAAGATTGTCTAAAAATGTCAAATTTCAGGTTAAATCATTGAACTGGAAAAGTTCTCCCCCCGTGTTTTCAGTTCAGCAATGTGTGTCGAAAATATGAATTCCGTCTTGACAAATCACAATGAGGGGGTTGAACTTGCTTGGGGTGTTCGTCTCTTGGATGCTGGAATAAAAATATTACAATTTAAAAAGACTTATAATGTAAAAATATAATGTGCTAAAAAATGAAAAACAACATTATTCCTATTTTTCATCCTTAATTTGTAGCCTTGCAGTTATTCTCACAAGAAACATCTTGCTACCATCAAAATCTTCCTGTAATCTTTCTGTAAGGTTTGTGGGATATTTTTATTTAATTTTCATTTTTGTTTTTTTTGTGCTTGTTTTAGGGGAGGGCTGAATTTTAAATGAGGCAGACAACTTGCAATGCTGGCTCTACTTGATCGTACTTAATAAATGATTAAAACAATGCTGGTCGATAAGGAGTCTTGCAGACCAAAATATTGATTGCATTTTACCCACAACCCCAGTAAAAAATGGGAAGCTCTGGACCCAACAACTTAGAATGATTCATTTTTCCACGATTGTTTGTGAATCAATTTTGGATCGACGTGCAGCTATTTCTGCCACTCCACTCCAAGTCTCCCAGAGTCAGAGTGACTTTGGAAACATTTGTTATGGCAGGTTCGTCCTTTAGTTAATACATTTATTTATGAGTAATGTTGAGAGTAGAAGTAAGTTTTTAAAAAAAATAACCTTTACATTTCCCCAGAGATTTTGTTCAATATATTTCTTAATTTAAGAAGCAAAGTTGAGGCCGAGTTCAGAGTGTTTTATAAGTGATACATTTCTTATAAATTTGAGAAGCTGGCTAACAGCCACCAGCTGTTACAAAACGTAAAAAAAATAAACCCAATGTTATTCCAGTATGTAGAACATGTTAGTAGTTTTAAAGATCTAAAAATCTAAACAAATGCAAAGTTCAAATAGTATATTAACCAAAGACCTATGTCAGAATAACAACCATGATAAAAGTGATATTTAAAAGGAAAAAAGTACTTATTATAGCAGTACTCATTTGAAATATTTGTTTTAAGGCGAGGACATGTTCTCGGTCTCTTGGAGGGGGGATATTCCCTAATACTCAGGAGTTCAAAATTTATAAAAAATGGATTTCAAATTTTTTGGGGAAAAAAATGTATTAGCAAATACTAAAGTATTTTTTGTTGTGAATCTAAAGCAGTAAAATGTAAATGAACCTTGGATTTCCTTCCAAGAGCTCCCGCTGTGACAGATACTTGCACCGCACTAAGATGCATTTGTAAATGAAAGTTCAACATATCAAGACAATTTCAGATTCAATTATTCTGCTGTATTCTGCTTCGCTAAAAAAATAAATTGGATATTTTTGTAACTGTGCATCTTTTATTGATCTTAGAAGCATATGGAAACTGGTCTCTTGTCTCAAGAGTGCTTCGTGTTCGGGTCCAAATGAATTGAGGTGAAAAACAAAACAATATTATGGCTCACTGCTATTCCCCAGAGCTGATATTTGGTGGATGTAGTATAAGCGCGGAATCCCACAGAGATACATAGAAATCTAGTTTAGTCATTTAATGCAAGTGCAGGTGATTTTAGTTATGTAAAAACATTTTTATATGTAATAATTCCTCATTGGTGAAGAACAATAAAGGCTTATATAATTGCACAGGTGTTGGAATCTGCTGAAAACAATCTTTATTGGCAAAAAGTCATGTTTCATGATGTAACTGGCAATATCAAAGCGACTTTAATGAGTTGGTGACTAGGATAACACAACCACCGACAAAAATAGGAACCCGGGTCCGCTGGGTTTAAATTTGAAACAGCAATATTGTAAAGCTAAAGTCTAATGGGACCATTGTGCACAAGAACAATTAAGAAAGTTTTCTGATTTGAGGGACCTGAGCTGTATTTACGTGAACTGTACTTTCCGGGGTTTCTTCTTGTTAAATAAATCAGAGATGCCCAAAAGGTAAATCCACAGATGTTATTTTACCAATGAAAACTGGAGCTTTCCACCAAAGACATTTGTTGATGTTTTAAATGTGTTCGCATAACAAAATCTTCCATAACAACTAAGATTAAGGAACATTCAACATACAGAAAGAGGATTATAAAACTGCATCACTCATACAGGTGGGTTGTCTATTCCTGACTGTTACAGTCATGACTTAAATATGAATATTAATTTAATAATTAATATATAATAATTAAGCAACAAATAACAACATTAATAGAGTTCGGTATTATGGTCGAATATATATAATAGGAAATACACAAAACATTGTAGTATTAAATGTATATTTAATATAATTATAATAACAATTAAACAAATGCTAGCAGAATGTCAATTTACCACAATAATTACACAATACAAAACTACAACATTACTTACAAAAGGCTATAACAGTTGCTAGCTGTTATTCAACATTTTACTTACAAGGCCCCAGCCCTTTGGCTGGGGTTAAGTCAGAGCTGGTGCTACATGATCAGTCAGGTACAGGCAAAAACAGAGAGCTTGCTTCTCCTAACATCTGGTTTTTATTCAGTGTAAGTAGGCTGGCCTGTGATGTCACTGCCAGAAGCACAGGTCTTCCTACACACTCCCCCTAGTGGTGCCCCCAAAGCATTACACTAAATATGCTTTACTGACATCTAGTGGTGCGTCTAAAGCATTAAGCTCATTATGCTTTTTTTTATGACAAAAAGTCATTAATTAATAAATACCATTACACTGACCATCACTCATCCAGGGCAAGCATTCTCCACCGATCTCCTAGTACAGACTGGTTATTGGGAGCCGGTGATGGTTATAATCTAAGGCTCATGTCTCTTGTGAAGATGGAGAGATGGAAGACCAGAAGTTAAGCAAGTTGGCATTATCAATAGATGTTTTTGAGATGAGGTCTGATTGACGCAGCCTTTTCCCCTTTGTTTCTAGTAGTGATGTGACTTTTATGTATCTTCTATATTTGTCTGTTGGGTATTGATAGTCACTGGTACAAGACAAGGACTCATGGATGCCATTTGACTAAGCTGCACATCTGGGCGGCCTTAGTGACGAATGCCCATATATAAAAGTAGGGGTTATCCTGCCTGGAAAAAAATTACCCAAAACAGTGCAAACTGTGTAACAGAATGGTTATCTAATATATGCACCAATTGGCCACTTGTAAGTTTGGATCAAATAAAGAACCTTAAAAAGCATTGATTTCCATTTCTCCCAGGTCTTGAGCTTTATTATCTCAATGGATGAGAAGAAAAGGACAAAGGGCATTCAATTAAAAAAAAACAGCCAAATATAGATGTAATAACTTACACAGAAGTTAACATTAGTATGTGTAGCATGTTACCATAAATTAATCAAATTGGACCTATGCATTTCATCCCACTTCCTCAGGGTAAGTTCTGTGTTTAGAGCAAAAAATAAATAAAAAAATGCCTACAAATCCCCCTTCTTTTTCCAGTCCTTATACCGCATCTCCTGTTTCCAATATTATTCTGATAGGTTCTTCTATCTTCTTGGCTGTTTGGAATTCTCTCTGATTCACTTCCTGGCTTCGCCTTTCTGCACGAGATACGATGATGTGATGTATTACAAACATGCGTTCCACCGTGGTGGTGTTGGAATACCACTTTCCTCGTTCTTCTAGCTCGGTGACGTCATTGCGCTGCATGCATGATGACGTTTGCATCCCATTCAGAAATCCTATTTTGCCTATTGATATCAGCTCTCGCAAGCATTGGTGGATAATAAAGTTAATAAATACCCAAAACCATAGATGAGGGGAGGGAGAGGAGTAAGTTTATAACTAATAAATTAAAACTTTATTAGTTATAAAAATTGTATTCTTATAAAAATACACATATTAAATATATATTAAACATATATGAAATGCAACAAATGTAATAAACTTTTGAATATCCTTACAAGTACCCAATTTATACATGATGTATAAAGATGTTTTTTTTTAAAGTCATTGTTCTTCATTTGTATTTATGTATTTATGTACATAAAGGTGGTAAAACATAATTATAAAAATGGTATAAATGATGACATATTAAAAAAAACGGATTAGTGACAAATACGTTGGGCAACCCATCCCATTTTCTGAGGTTTGGGAGCCCTCATACGTTCACCCAGTATATTCTCCATCCTACAACTATAAGGAATTTTATTAAATATGATTAATCTGGAAGAGAGTGGAGTCAACTTTCCCCTGAGCAGGGTCCTCCCTAATTTTTTAAATGATATATTAATGTAACTGTTCAGTTGCTGTTATATGGCTATTTTATTTCTACTTTTGTGCAAGTGATAATGTTCTTTAACCCTTTCACTAACGAGCACTTTTTGATTGAACACATATTAGCATATTTATTTGAAGGAAGGGATACATAATTAGCGTATAAACATATCATAACACAGCAATTTTGTGTGTATGTTTCTTTGCAGACAGATGTAAAAATGTAAAACATGTAGATTGAAACAGTTTTTATTTTTCACTTATTCGTTCAGCCTTTATAGAAATATTTGGGAATTGAAAAGTTTTTGGCAGTACACAGTGTTCTTCACCTTTTAATACTTCATGCAGGGTTCACAATGTTAGTATAAAAGCAGAAATGCAATTTTCTCAATTATAGTCGGTGTGACAAAAATATAAAAATAAAAATGGTCAAAAACCTTGTTTATATATGTAAGGACCCTAGAGGCATTACTAGCAGTGCAGATAACTAAAAATTGCAACAGAATATAAAATTAATGTATGCATGTGAGCATAATGCCCCCGTACAATAAATTAAGTTAAACCATATATTTTCTA